AAGAATGAAATGCTGCTGTCCAAGCTGAAAGCGAGTTCTTCCTGAAGAACTCCGGCTGGTGAAGTTCATAGATGGTTGTTCAGTCTGTTGAATCTCTTTTGTGAGGTGACAGTTATAACTGCAATGTAGATATATATAGAGATATATATATATAAAAAATATATACACACAGCTGTAAAAGTCTGGGGTTTTTTTTCCAGTATGTATTCAGTTTTACATTCCTTCATCACGTGGCTGTATTATTCCTTATTGCCTCCACTACACAGTAAAAAGTTAATGCAGTACAGCAAAATAGAAATATTGTCTAATTTTATTTATTTGGTTTTGTTTTTTTTTCAACAGTAAGGAAAATAGGGATGTTTTTTATTTGGGTTTTAATACTGAATTAGGTCAAGATTCTGGAATAAATAAGTTGGTATGTACGTGTAATATGTCCAGTACCACAAAATGAGCACTGCAGTGTGCCGTGGTTTGTTAATTTTGGCCAAAAAAAACCCACAGAATGAGATTCTTGAAAGTCTCTTCACCAGCTAACAACTTCACATTCTTTTAATTTACACTCTAGCCATAGATAAAATTCCAAAGAATAAGAATTAATTTCTAACAGTTAAGACATAAAAGAATGGAAACTTACCTTGAATAATTCCTGGTGTAAAATTATAGATCTATATTTTTATAAAGTCTAGCTGTTGTATAAATTTCTTTGAAATTTCATTTTTATATATAGAGAGTGTACTTGTTAAATTAATAGCTCCAGGAAAAACACCTTAGGTGTTAATCACTAGGACCATCATGTTATCCCTAGCTGGGATGACAGTCAAAGTCTGTGTCACCTCTAATAAAGGAAGATAAAGATTCAGACATTCTGCTCAAATGAACTGCTGGTCACCTTTGAAGACAACAACCTATTTACCCTGCTGAAGATTTGCCTTTGAAAGTTTAGAAACTTTGTGGAACACTTTCTGAAACATTTTTATATCTGTATGTACAGTATTTTATAATTCAAACAGATGCTTTTTTGTACTTAACATCAGGATTTTGGACTGACTTCTTAATGTACATAACATCTTCAGGAGAAGCAAAACCATATTCTTTTTTCCCCAATAACACTGATGACAGTGCTATTCGATTATTTCTATGGCAGCAAATATAAAATAAAGAATGTTTGGAATCCAGTGACCTTCTGCTATTGTGTTTTTAAGGTGGCATTTGCTTTAGAAGCCTTAGTATGCTTTTGAATTACAAGTGCATTAAAAGATGAATTGTGTCACTGTAGTGTCTTCATATGCACTTACACAGATGTTTTCATGTGTCACACAGCAACCGGTAACTTTTTGTTTTCTCTTGCTGCTTTTGGTAAGCTTGGTGCTTTGGGAGTTGGCACAAACTATCCCCGATTCCACTCCTTTTGAATACAACGGAAGGTTTGATATGAGCACGTGAATTCATGCAAACTGTAGCACTGGAAATGCAGAAGTGTGGGCATTTGTTAAACTGTGCACGGGGACATTGTTGATGTTCTGTCCAGGTAAAGCGTAGTGAGCTACCAGAGCTGTGGTACGCAAGTTCCATGGGATGTACTGTCTCATTAAGGAGACAGGGCTTGTGACAACCTGAAATGCTTTTCCTGTTCTTTCAGTACAAACAGAAAGAAAACCTTTCTACGGAGCCAGCTTGTACCTTACTCCCCCATCCTAGTGAGTGACTGCATAGGAACAGGCTGCTCTGCTTGTATGTATTCAGAGTCAGTCTTCCTAGAGCTAGTGAAATAATGAAGGCAAAATTACATTCTAGGTACCTTCAAAGAAGGAAGAAATTACATTCAGAGTTCCTTCAAAGGAAATTTGCATTGAGTGCCACTTACAGACTTTCTTTAGTCAGCTTTGATATTAGGAGACATTATTTATGTCTACAAATTTTGCCCTCTATAAAAACAGTAATTCTCTTTCTAATTTGTAAATCAAATTATGTAACCTTGGCACCAAGATAACCTGTTTGTGAATTCAAGCTGTGACATATTTGCATACCATGCACTTCTAAAACAGTAACTTGAATGGGCATTTCAATTTGGGTTTTACAATTTTCATCAAAATTGCTTTGGTATCAAGCAAAATTTCCTTGGTAGGGTAAGTAATGAACTTACACGTAGAACAAATGATGTGATTATTTGTTAAGCATAAAGTTTAAAGTTATACTGACCTGTTGCAAACACAGTAACCTGGCAACTTCAACATGCAATATAAAAACACTAGAGCTATTGTTCTGGCTCGGAGCTAGTGATGTTGACTGAGATAGAAAACCTGGGGTTTGTGACGATCCAGTTATTGCCCAGAGGAAATAAATCAGAGTCCAGATTATAATTCACTGTAAGGATCAATTAATTTCTAGGACAGATTGAAAACCAGGGCAGACAGACACTGTCTTTGCTTTCAGGTACTGTGTGAAGATGAGAGGAAGGAGGCTGGAGAGGTCCGAAGAAAGTTACATCAGCTGTCCCTTGCTTTCTGTCGCAGGCTGCCTATGTTGGGGGAACTGTTTCTCCTGGTACCTGGGGAGGAATCAAAATGCAAGAGGCACTTCTAGTGGCCTGATGAACTCGGTGGGCGTCAGGCTTCCCCGGGACATCAGGCTGGCTGTCCCCAGTGTGGAGGAAGAAGTATACATCGTGCTATGGTTGCTCCTGGGAAGGTGATTTTTGGGAACCGTTTCCAGGATGTTTTGACACTCTGAACACGACAGTCCCACTAAGTAGAATTTTGACTTCCAGCAAAAGGATGACAGCTATTTGTCAAGGTGAAGGGCAGTGTCACTTCTGAGTGGAGTTTTCAAAGAAAGGAGGGCAGTGCTTTAAAGTGGTTATTTTCCTTTAAGTCAATAAGCTTCAATGTGTACCATGGCTTTGCTGGAGATTTGAAGTCTTTTTGCATAATTATTACATTAATTTTTTGATCTACAGAATTAAAAATATTTTTAATGCCCACAGTTAGGTGATTGGAGCTGTGCAGCTGAGGCACTAAATTCTGAGCGTAGATGCGTGTATGCAAAGGACTACACAAACCCATAGCAAGCAGAATCTCTCTTAATTCTCCATTTCAGCTGGTTGCAAGGGAGGAGCTAACAGTTTGTCAGAATTTTACCTCAGTATTGCTGGATTTCTTTGACTGTTTAAAGAGAAAAAACTTACCCTGAATTCATTTGGTGTTACTAGGCTTGAAAAAATAACATTTACAGAGCTTGTAGCAGAACTTATGTTCTTTTTTTTTTATTTGATAGAGCCTGCTCAGAGCTTTACTTTGCATTGCAATAAATTATTTTGATATGCTGATGAATAAACTGCTGTAAAGTAAGTCTGCAGTTTGTTTCAGCAGCTGAGCAGTCTCTGAACTTAACATTTTCGACTGTTACAGCTTTCTTTAAATGCAGTTCTACAAGTGCACTTGTAAAATACCTTTTGAGAGCAAAATCAGTGACATAAATCTATCCAAGCATGACAAAATCCAGATAATCTTTTTGTTACAGTATATCAAAACAAATGTGGTACTACTGATTTGAATAAAGGAAAATCTTGGAGGGCGAGTTAAAATGTGACCAATATTTTCTTTAAGGTTTCTTCCCTTTTCTTCATCTTTTTTTCATGAAAAATCTGCTTATTGAAGTGTGACCTTAGTGTTTGCAAAAGCATTTTCCTGTGTGGCAAAGTAGTACGTTGTGCTCTTTATTCTCCAGAGGCACTATGGCACAGGTAAACCTAGCCCTATAGGTGACAGAATTTTAAAGAAATTTCTTTAGAAACATAAAATTACTTGCATGAGAGGAAGGGTATTACTTCTTTTAGGTCCCACGTTGTAGAGCTGCTGATACTCGGGCAAAACAGACAGCTGGAGAATTGCCATTTGCTGGTACACCCACCTCCTTAGCACCAGCTTTGCTAAATTAGGCACATAAGTAGGGCGCTCGTACGAGGCGATACACAAATCTTACTGGTTTGGGTGGTGGATGACATAGGATAGTCTTTTATCTAAGAAAACCTATGAACACAAGCCTGTTTATTCATGCAGTGTCTGCACAGCCAGGGCTGCTGTCTGCACCAGCTCAGCCAGCTGGCATCGGAGCCACTCGTGCTCTGGTCCTGGAGCTCCTTCCGCAGCTCCACAGGCAGCCTTGGTGGCCACTTCGGCCCCAGTGACACGTTCCTGTCATCAGCTGCTGCTCCTGCCCGGTAACTGCGGGACAGACTGGCTTACCAGTTGCTGCTTACAGGAGCTCAGCAATGTGTATTCTTAGGGGCAAACCCTTCCTTGCATCTTACATCAGTCTTCATGGAGGAATTGCTAGGGAATTCCCATGTAACGCAGCGATTTAGAAGCAGATGGAGGTTTGGCTGAATGATCAGGAACTCCTGGGTCTAATAGTGAATTACTGAAGAGCTTTCATTATGGAAGCTGTACCATGGATATGGGTTTCATGGAGTGAGGAGAAGCAGAGAAAGTTATTAATGTTTTCTGGTCACATTCATCCTCCAAAGCTCTTTGGTTTCTGCACAATCTGGATTCCAACAGCTCAATGAACTGAGGCCTTAATTTTGATACAGCTGCAGGGTTCTCTGAGCCTTGCTGCAGGATACAGCAACACCCTTCAGCTGAGCAGGAGTCTCCAGTGAGGAGTTCTAGGGCAGATTCAGTGTCAGGAAATAAAATTAATAGTAGTAGTCCACAAGCAGAAGTGACTGTACTCTAAATTGGCAATTTGTGTTTAAAGAAATAAATGACTATAGTGCTACAAATGATGTTTCTTCAGAATAGCTGATACATTTATTTTCTTTCTATTTGGATATTCAAGATACTGTATTCTTTATCTTAGTTCACATGGGAGTCGTATTTTCCACATTTTCTTCGGTCCATCTTAAAGCCAAGGATAATGACACAGCAATAATGCAAGATCTAAATTCCAATGTTTGAAGAGCCAGAAAGAGGAATGCCTGCATGCTCAATTTTATTCTCTCCTCTTTTTTTTTCAATTAAAATAAAGTTGCAAGTTTTAATAATGAGAGCAATTAATCACAGAAATGAAGTACCAAGGGAGGTAGAAAATTATCCACAGTTCCAACCATTTTAATCAAGGTTGATGTGTATGCGACAGTTACGGTCCCGCTGCACCAAGTACTGGGTTTGGCACACAAATCCATGGGTAAAAGGCTGTGCTGGCTGTGCAGGAGGCCAGGGGACCGTACTGCCTTTTCGGGCTTTAAGCAGGAAGCAGCATCCAACCATAACCTCAGCTAACAGATTTCTCCTCCCTATGCTAAGCTCAGATTCCATGTGATTAAAATCCAGGATTTTAAATCCTGAATATGTGCAACTGCTCTTCTGAATGCAGACGTGCTCAGAGCCACTGTAGGAAGCTGATTTTGGTAAGAGCTTTCTAAGACTGCACTGTAGCGAAAGTAAAGCTCCGCGTGTTTCTCGTCTCCTCTGGGTGA